CCTGCTGCAGCGCCGAGGAAGGCAGCCTGAGAAGAGGAGGCCAGCAGGGCGCGGGTGCCGCACGCGCACACATCGTCTGCGAGGAGCCGCCTGTCGCTAGGCTGGTCAGCGTTTATTAGTCAAGTCGTGACGTTTAACCCTTTGCACTCCGCTGTCCCCTCTCAGGGGACATCGGAATTCTAGCATATCACTCGGATGTCCCCTCTCAGGGGACATTGCAGTTTATTAGTGATTACGGGGAATTGAGTTATTTCAACGCAACTTTTTGAGACATGCATGTTTCCCTGAAGTTTTATCTTGAAATGGCACAAGAAATTAAATCAAAATATCGTAAAATTACTAAGATATATACAAGAAATGTCAGCGGGTTTTGTGTCGGATTAAACAAACTACATATTCCCGATGTGGGACAAAGAAAACGGGACTGCATTGTGTGTTCTAACAGGAAAACACCTGGTGGCAGACGTCAAACCACTTATTACTGTCAAACATGCACTAATCAGCCTGCAATGCATATTGGGGAGTGTTACAAAACTTATCATACTGTACAAAATTATAAACAATAAAATATTGTTTTTTTTGCAAATATACATTCCTCGATGTCACCCAATTCATATAAGTCCAATATCATTATAATACGTTACTTGGTTCCAAAATTATACTAAATAATACGAGGGTCTGTAAATGCACGTTTCCGCCGCAAAGTAGCGTCGAGTAGCTGGTAGCCAATGTCCAGAATGGTTCGGAGTGCAAAGGGTTAAAAATCCCAACAAAAGTGAGAGTCCCCGGTGTGGCTCGGGGTTGAGCGTCGACCTAGGAACCAGGAGGTCACGGCTCGATTCCCAGTCCGGGCACAGGCCCTGTTCGGGCTTGACCCCCAGTGGGGGGCGTGCAGGAGGCAGCTTGCTCTCTCTCATCATGGGTGTGTCTGCCCCTCTCTTCCTCTCCCTCTCTCTGAAACCAATACAAATATATGTTTAAAAAGTGCCCCGTTCTTGGGGAAGTGTGTGCGGTTATTTGTGAGAAATTCGGTGCTGGGCAGCGTGTCTTGTGGGACGTGGGCAGTGTTGGTGTGGCCACAGCGGCCGCTGTCCTCACGGCCTGACCGGTGGTGAGAGGCGAGGACCCAGGGCCTGGGACCAGGGCTCGTCAGCGGGACACTCCGCGAGCTCGCGCTTCACTTCCTAAAACACGGTGCGTTCGGCCCGTGCATTCTGCCGAGGGCCTGGCCCTGGAACTCCCTGCAGTTCTGCGCGGCGTGGGGGCCGAGGCGCCTCGATCCTGGGCGGAGTGCGCGCACAGGTGCTTTCGTCCACTCAGTGATTTCAAAAGGCGCCTCCTGTCCTGAGAGCGAAGTCCTCCCGCCCAGCAGGCCCGTCGTGGCGGCGCCCTTGGCGGTGGGGAACGTCAGCCCAGTGACTCCCGCCAAAGCGCCTGCTGCTCTGTGTCGCCTGCCCATCGACGAGCACCGTGCGGGAGGCGCAGGATCCGAGTCTGGCTGGGTTGTCCCCAGCCACCCCCACCCAGGTCAAGAACGGGACCTTGAGCCCAAACCCCGGCTCCCGCCAGCAGAGACCCCTTTACCACTTGGCATGTCGTATCGCGGAGCCCCGGCGGACGCTCCCCTGTGCCCAGCGTGCGGGGGTCTCCGCCGTGCGGTTGGCTGACGCTGCAGCTTGTTCATCCGCGGCTGTGGTGCTCGTTTCCCGTCCCCTGTGGGCACTGGGTTTGGGGGGTAGGACGCCAGCGTGGGGTCAGTGTGCATAGACCTTGGAGTTGGGCAGCCCTGGGCTCTCGGTTTCTCACTGTGACCAGGGCGGATGCCTAACCTCTCTGAGCTTCAGCTTCCCCATCTGTAAAATGGGCACAAATCGCCCAGCCCCACAGGTAGGACCTTCTGTCCTGACAGGTCTCTTGCCGTCTGGGGTGCATATGTGCGACCACATGTGTGTGCCCCCAGCAGCACCCTGTCCCCAGGCTTCCTGAGCAGGGACAGCAGACTGATTGGGCTGGCGAGCCTGCGAGTGTCTGTGTGCCCGTGTGTGTGTGTGTGTGTGTGTGTGTGTGCCCACATGTGTGATGGTCGAGTGTATGTTTGCATGCCTATGCATGTGATGGCCACCCGTCTGTGTGTGTGTACGCCTTCCCATGTGATGGTGCATGTCTGTGTATTCCTGTGTGTGATGGCACGTGTGATGTGTGGGCATGCCTGCACCTGTGACAGCCCATGCATGTGTGATGTGTGTGCGTCCCCACATGTGTGATGGCATGTGCGTGTGACGGCCCCACATGTGTGATGGCATGTGCGTGTGACGGCGGTGTCTGTGCGTGTGTCTGTCCGCTGTGTGGTGGCCACACATCTGTGTGTGTGCGTGCGAGTGTGTGTGACGGCACATGTCTGTGCGTGTGCGTGCCTGCCCGTGACGGCGGTGTCTGTTGCAGGCCTCCCGGAGCAGTACTACAGCCTCACCTGGTTCCTGAGCCCCATCCTCGGCCTCATCTTCACGCCTCTCATCGGCTCCGCGAGTGACCGGTGCACCCTGAGCTGGGGCCGGCGGCGGCCGTTCATCCTCGCCCTGTGTGTGGGTGTGCTTTTCGGGGTGGCCCTCTTCCTCAACGGCTCTGCCATCGGTGAGTGCCCCGCCGCCCCGTGCCCCCCGAGCGGGGAGAGCCTGCCCCCAGTGAAGCCGCTCAGTGGTGGCCCGGGCCGGGCTCGCAGTGCCCACGCGGGTGCCTGGCGGCCGGGGCTGTGGGAAAGCCCCGGGAGCCCGTTCACAGGGCGGCGCTTCCTGGTGGGCTGTTTGCTTAGCGCGTATCCGACCACGTCCTGTTCCCAGCATTGGCTCAGAAATTATCTTTTCCTTTTCCCGACTCGGTACTGAAAATGCCGGCCGTGCGAGGCTGGCGGTGCTGTTTCACATCCTCGCAGTCGCTTCGTTTTGTTTTGTTTTGTCTGTAATTGAAGCAGCTCGATGGGGAAACGGTGTTTGCCGAGGGCGCCGCTAGAGGCTGCTGAGAACACACGTGGTTTCCCCAGTGACTTTTTTTTCTTTAAGGGTGAAAGATAGCCTTTATGTTGTGTAAAGTATTATGTGTGTCTCCTTTCCCCCCAATGACCCCCTCCCCACCCCCCAGCCCCGTCAGTGACTTTTAAGCCGGGAGCTCGCCCCCAGGTCTGTGCACTCGGGTGGCAGCCAGTGATGCCGGTCATGGAAGAAAAGGCCCCACAGGGGCCTCGCTCAGCTTCTCAGAGGCCTGGGCCGGGCTTGAGGGGCAGCCCTGCAGCCGCATGTCCCCGACAGAAGCCCAGCCTGTCCCTCCTGTCCCCGTGCACTCAGCAGCAGGGACGTCCCTGCAGGCCCTGGGCCCGGTGGGACCACAGAGACCCCGCCCGGGCAGGTGGGTGGGAAGGACCCTCTGCTTGGTCGTAACGCCCACTGAAAGGGGCTCTGAGTCCGCTGCCAGTTAGCGTGGTGGAGGGACAGCAGCCCGCAGGCGGCAGGAAGGAGGCCTGGCGCCCGCTGGGTGAGGAGCACCTTCTGGCTGGGCTGGGCGGGTGCCCGGAGCTGAGGCCTGCCCGTTGTGCCCGCCAGGCCTGGTCCTCGGGGACGTGCCTGGCCAGCAGCCCATCGGCATCGTGCTCACAGTGCTGGGCGTGGTCGTCCTGGACTTCAGCGCCGATGCGACCGAGGGGCCCATCCGCGCCTACCTGCTGGACGTGGTGGACAGCGAGGATCAGGACATGGCCCTCAACATCCACGCCTTCTCTGCCGGTGAGCGCCCTGCCCCCCCTCATCCCCGGCCCACACTCGGGGCGGTGGGCTCCGGACCAGCTGCCAGCAGGCCAGGCTGAGCAGGGCCCCGCCCCCAGGCCCGATGAATGCTGACGGGTGACGTGCTGGTAGCTGGCCCTGCCCGGCGCGGGGCCCACCGCTCCCCGCAGCTTTCACATCCGCTGGAGCGCCCGCTTCCAAGGCCTGGGGCCCAGGGTGGTGCCGAGGGGTCCCGGGCACTGCAGGAAGCTGTGGGGTCAGAATTGCAGACCCAGAGTCGGCCAGAGGGGCCTGTGCTGCCTCCCCACCCGCCCCTCCCTTTCCCTCCCGAGCCTGCGGGCCGTCGGACACCTGGCTGGCTTGTCTGCTGGGGCCCGGGCGCCGCTCCTCACTGCTGCTGTCCTTCCGCCCGCCAGGCCTCGGCGGGGCCATCGGCTACGTGCTCGGGGGGCTGGACTGGACACAGACCTTCTTGGGCTCCTGGTTCCGGACGCAGAACCAGGTGCTGTTCTTCTTCGCGGCCGTGGTGTTCACGGCGTCGGTGGCCCTGCACCTGTTCAGCATCGAGGAGGAGCAGTACTGCCCCCAGCAGGAGCGTGCCGAGGCCGCCCCGCCCGCCCCGCCCAGCCTCCTGGACGGCGGCCTGTTCCCCGACGAGGTGCAGTCGGAGCAGGAGCTGGCGCTGGACTACCTGGGCGTGGAGCTGGTGCGGAGCAAGAGCGACTCGGTGCTGCACGTGCCGGACGCGACGCTGGACCTGGAGCCTGAGCTGCTGTTCCTGCGCGGCATCGAGCCCTCCATCTTCCACGACGCCTCGGGCCCCGGCACGCCCCACAGCGCCAGCCAGGACCTGGGCCCCGCCCTGCCGCCCCGCCTGTCCTCGCTGCTCGGGGACACCACCAAAGAGGACGCCGTGCTGCTGGACAATCACATGCACGAGGCCAAAGTCCCCAACGGCAGCGGCTCTCCCCCGAGGGACGGCCCACCCGGCTACAGCGCCGGGGACCCAAAGCCCTCGACCGCGTCCAGCGCCCTACGGCGGCGCAGGCACGGCTTCCGCCGCCAGGCCTCCAGCACCTTCTCCTACTACGGCAAGATCGGCTCCCACCGCTACCGCTACCGGCGCGCCAACGCCGTGGTCCTGATCAAGCCCTCGCGCAGCATGAGCGACCTGTACGACCTGCAGAAGCGGCAGCGGCAGCGCAGCCGGCACCGCAACCAGAGCGGGGCCACCACCTCCAGCGGCGACACGGAGAGCGAGGAGGGCGAGGGCGAGACCACGGTGCGGCTGCTGTGGCTGTCCATGCTGAAGATGCCGCGAAGAGCTGACGCGGCTCTGCCTCTGCCACCTGCTCACCTGGTTC